ATTTCAACTCTTAATCAGCATAACAATAATTTATTCAGTTCAGCAAATCAGAATAATCACAGCACAACAAATCCAGAAGTTCCAATCTTAAGTCTGAGCCTAGCATTATTCTAGAAGTTCTGATGCATAGTTTTTTTTTCTATTCATGCAATGATATGTACAACATTAATACTATGATATTTACATGTTAATGATGTTCAGAATGAAAAGCAAGTAAAGTCACAAAGACTTACCTGGAACGTGCTTGGAGCTTTGAGTGGCTGCCTTTGGGTGTTTCTGAAATCAGCAAGAGAGACGGAAGAGTGGTTGTATCCTTTTGTTCGAAAGGGAGAACAAAGGTTTATTTTTATGTATGAGAAATCTGGATTTTTATGAAGGTTTCACAATTTCCTTCTCTCTCTTTTGGCCAATCTCTCTCTTCAAAAGCCAGCCCCTTGAACGTGTGATGGAACCAAGTATTTATAGATGATTTTTGCTGTGATTTGGGGGGAAAAAGCAAGTGAGATTTGAACCTGTTTTGGCATCCTGTTACTTTGCTTTTTCATTACAGTTTTCGTATGATAGTTTGGTGTAATCATGAGATGCAAGCGTAGGCTGAACCAGCTGTTGGTCATAGTTCTGCAGCAAGTATAAGCAAGGTTTTGGGATTTGGTCAAGTTCTGACCAAAGCTTTGAAAATAGCTTTCATGTGCTGAAGCACTGCCTTGTCTTTGAAACAAGCATGGTGGCTGTCAGCAGGAATTAAGGAAAAGTAAAAGCAAAGTTTCTATCCCAAGACAGTAGAGGTACACGTGGTGGAAATCCTTTGGATAAAGACTCAGAAAGTGGTTGTGAGCATTAAATGATGATGAGACTTATCATAACCAGAAATCCTGCAACGTGAGATTCTACACCAAGGCTTTGTTCTGGATCAGAAGTTCTGCTTCAGCATAGCATCCATCCTCTGATCTTTGTACCTTCTGGCTCCATCATGTTTTGAAGGAGCACATTGTTTCCACATGTTCTAACTAAAGCGTCGTATTCTGAATCATGTTTGCAACCTTTGACTGAAGCTTTTTGTGAAAACTTGTCCAGAAGTTCTGACCAAACTCTGCCTTGAGAATATCCAGAACTTGCTAAGCGTTAAGGTGATAATCTGGTCAGAAGTTCTGAATATGTCATACTTTCTTAAACACTTAGAAAAATTCTAAGTATTTAGAATTTTGACCTTCATGGATTTTGATGAAACAAAACTTCATATTTCAACGTGTCTTGATGAAATATGATTCTTGAAGCTTGATTTTGATCTAAAAGTCAAAGTTTGACTTTTCAGCGTGTAAACGACCATTTTGCCCTTATGAGTGATTTTCTTGGAAAATTTGTAGTTCAAAGCTTGGAAACTGGATGAAAGCAAATCGGAGGATCCAGGGTGATTCTTTGAGAAAAGAGAGGGAAAATTTTGGGTACAACAGAGGTCAAAGTGAAGAAACCTCTAGTGTTGCAAATCGACAACAAGTCAGCTATAAATCTAGAGAAGAATTCAGTTCTGTATGGAAGAAGTAAACATATAAAATCTAGGTTTCACTTCTTGAGGGAAAAAGTAAATTGAGGTGAACTTGAAGTTAGGAATTGCTCAAGTGAAGCACATTTGACCGACATTTTTACCAAAGGATTGAAGATCGACAGATTCCTGAATTTGAGAAATAAATTAGGAATAGTTCAGATCGACTGTGACTAGCGTAGGTTCGACAACATGGATTATGGGAGTGTGTTGAAATATTAAAATGGATTAGATTAGATTTGATTATATTTAATATTTAAATATAATCTAAGTTGTGTTAGATCGAGTCCAATTAGGATTGTATATAAATAGTCATAGTATGTATCCTTATTTTGTACGATTCGTTAAGTAAATAATAGAATCCTTATTTCCTTTATTATTCTCTCTTTCTCTCCTCACTAAAAGTGTATCATGCACTAACAATATCTACGCTTACTGTTTGCACGGTAGATAATTGGTTTAGAAATACACCCTTTATGGTACAAATGCCCCTATAAATAATTTATCAAACAAGGAAAAATTCAAATAATTCTTTAAAGAGAATTCGATAATGGTCGTTTGACTACTCCAAATAATTTCTCAAACGAGGAGAGACTTAAATAATTCTCCAAAGAGAATTCAATAATGGCAATTTGACCACTCGAAATAATTTCTCAAACAAAGAGAAACTAAAAAAATTCAAAGAGAATTCAATAATGTTTGTTCGACCACTCCAAATAGTTTTTGAATGAGGAAAAATTCAAATTATTCTCTAAAAGAGAACTCAAAAATATACTCATAAAATTCAATAAGTAGAAAGAAAAAGGAAGAAATTGGTTTAGTAATATAAACTTGAAGGAGTCTCATAAGCTTGATTGCACAATGGACAATAAGACACCAAAATAAAACCTATTTTATGAAGATTATCATCTGTGGCAATAATGATATGAAATATACACCAAACAATAAAAGACTTGACCAAGAGAATATATATCAGCCAGATATTCTTAAACCAACAAGGCTCAATCATCTCTATATTAAAATGTTCATAGGCTTGTCTAAAAGTAAAATCACCATCATTAGAACCACACCAATTTAAAGTATCCAGCACAAGATTCTAATCTAGTTTTGTTGTATTCAAAGTCCAAGAAAATGTTGATGGCAACATAAATAAGTTTAAGGCATGGCTGGTTGCTAAGGGGTATCTGCAACAACAAGGGTTTGATTATAGTGAAACTTTCTCTCCTGTAGTAAAACCCACCACCATTAGAATTCTTCTCACCTTAGCTATCACTCATAAGTGGGAGTTACAGCAAATAGACATTAACAATGCCTTTTTAAATGGTGATTTGCAGGAGAAAGTCTTTATGCAACAACCTCCAGGCTTCATTTCTAAGGATAAAAATCTAGTGTGTAGACTCAACAAAGCCCTCTATGGCTTAAAACAGGCTCCCAAAGCCTGGTATGATAAGTTGCACAAGCTATTCTCCACTTTGCTTCACCAACAGTAGATGTGATCATTCTTTATTCATCTATTCTTCTCAAGGAGTTACTATGTATGCCCTTGTATATGTAGATGACATCTTGGTAACTTGTTCCTCATCTACACTAGTTCATGATCTCATTCAAAAGCTGCATCATAAATTTGCTCTTAAACATTTAGGCAAACCTGCCTACTTTTTAGGTATTGAAATTCTGTATCAATCTAATGGGTCACTTCTTCTCACTCAGTCCAAATATGTACATGACTTGCTCACTAAAGCTCACATGCCAAAAGCAAAAGGATTTCCCACTCCTATGTTGAGTCAGTGTAAGTTAAGCAGGCATGGAAATAATATCTTCTCTGATCCAGGATTATACCATTCCATTGTAGTGGCTCTGCAATATGTTACTCTTACAAGGCCAGATATTGCCTTCTCTATTAACAAGGCTTGCCAATTTATGCCAGTCCCTCAAGAGTCTCATTAGCTTGCTGTCAAGCGCATATTGAGGTATCTTAGTGGCACAACCTTCTATGGCTTACTCCTTAATCCTACTCCCATTGATCAAAAGTTCACTCTTCAAGCCTAGAGTGACTTGGATTGGGCTAGCGATCCAGATAATCATCGTTACACCTCAGGCTCTTCTATTTACTTTGGTCCCAACTTAGTGGCATGGAGCTCCAAGAAGCAGCCTCTTGTGGTTTGCTCCAGTACCGAAGCTAAATATCATGGCTTAGATCATGCCACGTCTGAACTTTTATGGATTGAGTCTTTACTCACTGAGCTACATATTGCTTTCCTCCCTCCCACCCATCTATGTGACAATGTTAGTGTTGTTTTGCTATCACACAACCCTGTGTTACATGCTCGTACAAAACATATAGAGCTAGATATCCATTTTGTTTGTGAAATAGTTGTCGCACAATAGCTTTTGATCAAACACATTCCTACTCATGCTCAGATTGCCGACACCTTAACTAAACCACTTGGAACAACTGCGTTCCAACTCAAAGTTCTATCTTTCAACTGACCTTGAGTTTGTGGAGGGGGACTATATTATGTAAAATAATGAGATATTGTGTATGGCCTATATATACTATACACGTATATTGTTAAAGATAAAAAATGAATGAGTGATAGTACATAGTACTTTTCTCATTTCCATTAACGTGGATAATTTGGCAATTACTTTTGTATGATATAGCCTTTAGATGAATAAATCTAGGGGTTCCCTTGAGAATAAGCACTCCTAAATAATCAAAAGGTGTGCTTCCTATAGCGAATCCTATAATAATGGAAAATTATTGAAGCCTTGAATATCTAATTGCTCCTCGTATGAATTTACCTTTGTTTGGACGGATGAATTGACTAGAGTTCATATCATATTCTAGAAGTAGTTATAAATAGATATTGAATTTCTTACCGAAGTTCATAATGTCATCAACAAATAATAGAAGACTGGGAATTATAGTGTCCTCGCCCCTTTGACAGTAACTTTGAAGACTTTCTCACTATTACTAAACAATATATTATAAGTCATTTTTAAATTATACTCATAATAAATCATACACGTGAGTCATTCATTAATAAGATCAAATTGTCAAACAAAATGTTAGTAAATCATATACAAGTGTTCATAAAACACAAAAATAAAACCATACAAATTAAAAACCTTAATAACAAAATATCACTAATTGGAATATTTAAACCCCCTCACCCCCTCTTTTCTTTGATGTCTTCTATACTACAATGCATGTCACACGTCAACTAAGATTTCTTATAGAGTGACCTTCTTAGGAATTCCTTCTTGAAACTCTCCCCTATTTATGTTGCTAATTGTAAAAGATGCCAACATTGGCGACCAATTTTATGTTTTCTATCTCTAGTTTCCGGCTGTTAAATCAACTTTGTTGGTATGTAGAAAAAAACCAGCAAATGTGCCAAGCCAAGTGATATATATTCTTTGGCAACTTAACAAATGAGTTTATCTTTGATTCTTCCTACAACGCCCTCTTAGATATCCACCTACTGAACATGGTGAAACATTCTTCAGGAAGGTACTCGGGTGCTGTGTGTCCTCCACCCTGCAATGGAATTGGATAAACACGACAAAACATTCTTTGTCAAAGGTATAAAATCTTTATAACAAATTAGTCAACTGAAATATGTATTTGAGTTGTAGAAATTGTGGAACATGTGAGACTTACCTTCACAGTTGCAAATGTCATCTGATTCGAGTAAGTCCTTGTGTATCTATACATGTAGGAAATTAAAACAAATATTTATTCAACTTGGTTATAACTCATAAATCTAGCATGATTATTATATATAATTACAGTTTCGCAAATACCCTGCAACTTGCTCGTTTGTATGCCACGGTCTCCAATCATCAACAATAGAATAATTTAAAGATTTTATCCATGCTTTTGTCTCCAAAAATGGAATTACCATGTCATGATCACCACTGTTAGAAATATATAAAATATATTCGTCACAAGAAATTGTAAACCTAGTTGATCACTAATCAATGGTATCTTATACAATATATGAACATAAGGTATTGACCTGTAAATTAATGAACGATATCCTTTTCTACTGAGATTTACATGATAATCATAGATGTTAGGAATATCCATGTTATACGGTATATCATAGGAACAACGATGCCATTTCCCAATACTTCCCTGCATCGCATGCAACCGAAAGATCATATAAACAACGCGAGCAAATTAGAATTATAACATATATTTATCAACTATATACCTTATGTATGTTCAGTGTTTTGCGGACATTATCATCATTGGCCCAATACATGGAAAGTAAATATGGATAATTCTGACAGTGGAGAAAAACAAACATCACATTAACAAAAATGTATATGATCTATTATGCAGCAAATAGTATATATAGTAATTTGGAAGTATCAAGTTAATATTACATCCGTAACGATTTATAAGTAAATTTGACTTTTTTTTTATATATTTGACAATTAATGTATCTAATTCATATACAGACTAAATACATTAATTGTCAAATGTACTGTAAAAAATCAAATTTGTTTATAAATTGTTACGGAGGGAGTATCTTTTATTCAATAAGGAAGCATGAAATATTACTCGGCATTTTAAGGGCGAAACTTTGGAGTGATATTTCTCAATTAGAGATCTCCTTGGAGAATTCTCAGTATAAAGCCATACACATGACGGTTCTAAAATATGGCCTTGATTAATTTCTGATATAGCCTGTAAAAACAGAAGAATGGTGTTGAATTAGTTATTGTTCGTTTCATGAAATTTTGATAAAACCGATAAATTTATATACCTTGTCGAATGAACTGAGATCTTTGGAACATAAAGCATTTTTGGTCTCTGCATTTATATAATCTCCATTACAATTTATTTGCAGTGACTACAAAATATTAGACATTGTTAGCATTTTAGTTTGTTTCTTTAATAGACGAACCAAATAGACATTGCAGAGTTAAATTTTAAGAATAGATATGGAGAAAGTATAATTCAATCACCTCGTATAATTCATCAGATATGAGTCCCATTCCATGAGCAAAAGGGATTTTATAGTTTCGTTCCTTTCTAGTTGCTACAGCATTTCCCAAAATGTATCCCTGAAGAAAATATTAGTTCATAGGAATGCAATAGGGGTTGTAAGAGAGTGATCCATTAAGATGCGAACCTGGAGATTTATCAACGGTTGAACCCCTTTTTCATTTTCTGCAAATGAGTTACCTTGTGAATAGTTGAACTTAATTGAAGAAGTATAGCAATGAGTTTTGTACCTTGTGAAATTTCTTGAGCAACTATCGGAACAGTAGCGCCCGAGTATGAATCACCACCAATGTAAACTTCGTTTGATTGAAATTTTGGATGATCATTCAGCCACTACAAAGATTTATAACATACTTGTTGCTACATTATTAATGAATTAACATAAGTGCACAAAAAACTTAAAAGCAAAGAAAAAAAATGATTACTAAGAAATGAAAGCGATAGATCTTGGTGAAGAATACCTTTCTAAAAAATTGGTGAGCTTGACGAACTTGTATCGAGTCGCTCCTTTGAGATCCTGAATCTGTTGTGGCATAAGTGAAGCCTGTGGAAACAGGCAAATCTACAAATATAATGCTACTCACCTATATCAATAAAAAAAGTCATTATAAATATCATTATAAAGCAAAAATAAAATAAAATCAGCCAAAAAAAAAAAGGACTTATAATCCCAACCTTTGTCCATGAGTGTGGCCTCAAGATGAGATTAGGCAGGCTCCCATTGTATTCCTCCTTTTTAAATTGAAGTGGGCCTGCAATGCAACATCTCAAGTTTCCAAGTGTAGCCTAAAACATTGATACTTCATCCAAAAGAAAAGTTGCAATTACCAATTTCAAAGAGAATGGCAGACAAAGCAGAGCAACCAGGTCCACCATTGAGCCAAAGCATGAGAGGATCTTCCTTTGGATTATATTCTGATTCAAAGAAATAATAAAACACTTGCACATCCTCTTTTTCACCAACTCCCACATACCTTATCAACAATATATGAATATGAATACATTGAAACAATCTTAAAAAGCACATGAAGTGTGTCTGTTGGTAAGTAAATTTAAATAAAACTAACCCAGTTTCAAGCAGAAAAGGAAGAGGTCCATTGAATCCAGGAAGAAACTTGACCAGGGAGCCACATGTTGCAACTTGGAATGCAATATGTGATAATAAAAGAACAACAAAAAGAAGATCCTTCACATAACTTGAACTAAAATTTGCCATTTTTGGTCAATCATGTCAAAAGGATCCTGTTGCAAAAAATATAAGCGGCTTTCAAAAAGGTCGATTTTTTTAAATTGAATCCCATCTGCAGCTTGCACATGCTCGAAGGATTTTAATAATACATTCTTTTTTAAATAATAAATTAATCATTTAAATGCCCACGAGGTTCTGGATTTAGAATAAATACATAAACTATTGTTTTATATTTAGTGTATGTGTCTCTTTTGTAAACATACTAGACCAAAAGCAAGTAAAGTCATAGATATTGACTTGAATAGTCACTTCACTTGTTGCATGAAGGACCTTTTAAACTCACATGCAAATTTGTTATTAGGATTTTTGTAAGATTTTGATAATTAACTAATTAAGTTGATTAAGCTGTTGACATTTGCTAGTGTAGCATGAATTCACTTTTAAAGTGGGTCTCCTATTTATTTGAATAAAGAAGGGAAAAAAAGAGATATAAAATAAAGAAAAAAGTTTTTATGTGATTATTATATTTGGGTCAAATCCATTTGATATGTATTTAAAGTGTATTTTTTTTAATCACTAAAATAATACAACAAGTACAATTAAATAAGATTTCAGAGAACTATAGAAATAGAGAAAGAGCAAAAAGCATAAGTGATAGATGAATGTAGAGTAAATTTTATCAGTTTGAGCTATAAATATGAATTTAATATGTTTTTCTCATCACTTAGTTAATTTTATTTATATTTCTGGTGAGTAATTTTGTTTTCTTTTAGAGTTGTTTTGATTAGGGGTGGTAAAACTGGTCTGGTCTGTTGGGCATGTCCGTTTTATTCGCACTTTAGTGCGGGATGAGACAAGAATTTAGATCCTCACCCTTTAATGTGATTGTCCCGTCCCGCTTTAATTTTTTGCAGGTTTTTACAGGGCGAGTCTAAACGGGGCGGACATGCCCGTTTGCCACCCCTAGTTTTGATATATTCATATTTTGTGGAGGAATTGTTTGAAGTGTGTTTCCCATATTTATTGTTTATCGGTGAAGATTGTTATTTCTCAGTGTTATTAGAAAGACTTTTGTATATCCATTATTGATATAGAAGAAGATTTTACGGGATTAAATCTCGTGGTTTTTATTCTCTCATTTTGAGAGAATCTTTTTACTTTAAAAATTTGTGCTATTACCATTTAATTTTTCTGTTATTATCATTGTACTCTGGAATTGGTTATGTTGATTGTCGGTTTAAATTGTACAAGTTTGGGAAAATATTTAGGTGGAAAATTTTCCAATAAAGTGGTCTCGAGAGCTCTAGTTGGCTTGTTTTGTGCATTTTAAATACAGAAAAATCAAGAGTCTGATATGATTAAACTCAACTCTACTAATTATACATTTTAGAAGACACTTATGAAAGATATGTTATACAACAAAGATTTGTATGATCTTACTAAGGGGAAAAAAGGTAAACCAAGTGATAAGTATGATGTCGAACGAAAGAAGATGAATCGGAAGACACTGGCTATAATAAGACAATGGTTGGACTTGAGTGTATACCCACATATTAAAGTTGAAACTGATGCAAAGAAAATGTGAAATAAATTAAAAGAGTTGTATGAGCGCAAGAACGTGTAAAATAAATCATGTTTGATCAGAAAGCTGGTTAATATGAAATACAAGGATGATGATTCAATGACAGGGCATATGAGTGTGTTTCACAATATTGCAAATCAATTGGCAGCTACTGATATTAAGTTGGATGATGAATTGCAAGCCTTATTATTGTTTAGTTCCTTGCCTGATAACCATGATGTTCTTGTTGTGACACTTATAAATTCAGCTCTGAACGAGAAATTGGTAAGGTCAATGGTTAAAGATATCATGCTTAATGAAGAAGCTACTGATATTTAAACTTTTGTCTTGCTCTTTACTCACCTCTGAAATTCTGGTTGTCGGATCTCGAATGTCCTAAGAGATGTCGAGTCATCGGATCCGACTTCAACATACAAAAACAAGATATATAAACAAAATAAACAGTGTTGAATATAAAGAACACATAGATATGTCTATCCAGTTCAGAACAACTTTCATACTCTGGGGACTATCAAACTAGTGAAGAAATTAACTAGATAATATCAATTTGTAGACCTCACAACAAACATCCTAGTTTACAGTCTACAAACTTAATCACTACCATTTGCTTAACTCCTACCTATGACACAACTAGGTATTAGGCCCTCCTTAAATCCTCTTCAACTACACTCAGCAATTGGAATAACTCTAAACACAAGTAGAGAATAAAAATGGAAGTCACTCTTCCAAGACACATAAAACACAATGCTTAAAAGCTTATTAGAATTGACACACAAATACTCAATGCTTAACAACTTATGAGTATCTGACACACAAATGTTCAATGCTTAAAAGCTTATGAACATTTGACACAGAACTTACAACCCAACAATAAGGATTCTAAAAACCCTAACAAAACACACATGTAAGTTCCACCTAATACTAGGTATACACCAGTTTATTTATAACATTATTCTGGACTGGGTTGGGCTTCAAAACCGTAGTAGTGAGGTTGCACAAAGTCTGCAAATTCTTCTCCAAGAGAATAGGTCTTCAATCATTAGTTTCCTAAAATGTCTCATATTTAAAAACTGTGCATATCTTCAAAAACTAACATAAAATATTCTGATTTGTCAATCTTTGATGCCACATAAGCTAACTAAATATTCCCTGAATATTCAGTAGCTAACAAATCAACTGAACCATAGCTTTCAACTGCTGCAGATGCGATGTCCTATTTCCTGGTTAGGACATCATATTCGACATGTTGAAAAACTGCAAGTTGGAACATCTTGTTCAACATGTTTCTGCCAAGTTGGTTTTATCAAAATGTATGCCAATCATAATTTCAGAGAAATAACAACCTCTTTGATTATGATAAAAGGGGGGAAGTATACTCTTAAAGGGATTAGAGTATAATTTCTACTTATGTGAGGGAGAGTTTAGCTACTCAAATATTTATCAACGTGATTTTTCTTTTACCATATCCTTGAGAGATGCATTATCTTCATCAACAAGGGGGAGAATATGGAACTATATGCTTGCAGGTATAATTAATAATTTATCAAAGCTTGTAGATAAACAAGAGCTACATATCCCTAATGATGTCATGGTTCTGATGATGACAACACCTGCTGTTAAATACACATGAAATCAAGCAATGCTTAAATTAGCTCAAGAGGTTAAAGATACACAACATGATTGATCAAGATATTCCTTTGAATCAAGCTAAATAATTAGGATTTATGACCATTAGTGATATATCTACTCTCTGTTAATGGTGTCTGTAACACGGTGGGAGAACTGACTTGAGTGTTTTTATGTTTTATCGCAATTGTTGCGGATAGCAAGAGTCGCCATCGACTTTTCTTTTATCCAAATAAAGGAAAGGGTGAAAAGAACAGGAAAGACCTTTGAGATTATTTTCTTGAGTTCGGGGGGTAGATTATGAAAAGGGAAGGTGTTAGCACCCTTTTCATCCATAGTTATCTATGGGCTCTTAGTTGCTTTCTAGATCATTGGTTTTGTTTGAAAGTGTGCTTTGTGGTGGGTTTTGAAACTATTTTTGAAAAGTGTCTTTGTTTAGGCAAACTTTGTAATGATTCTCGTCTCTATAAGAATGTATACAAAGTGTTGGACTTTTAAAAATATTTCATGGAAAGTGTTGGTGCATTTGAAAAGGTGTTTGTGTTTGAAGATGAGCAAGCAACTAGGAACATTCTACCTTACTCAAAAGTCTTTTGTTCATTCCTCTTTTCCTTTGATATTGTTATCTTACCATTGATTGGTAAGAAGCTTTATCTTTGTATGTAAAAGGGACGGGTGTGGGTCATCGTATAGTCATGATAACAATGTTGTGAGATATCTTAGCATTTCTCTTGAGGGACTAAGATCATTTGTAAGGCAACATTCGAAGCGTCATTGAGGGACTATGATCTTGTATTTTTGATTGTTTTTTGCTAAGACGTCTCACATGCGTATTATGAGCATTTTCTCAAGGCAACAAGTAGAGTTAACTCTAGAGGTACACGTGTGCAAAGTGTGTTTGATTGCATGCATTTTTGTCTTTTGATCAGGGTGGTCTACTTGTTGATTTTATCTTGTCATACACCCTAATTACTAACATTTTGTATAAAGTAAAAAAATGCAGAAAGATAAAATCCTACACTATTACAACCATATTTAATTGCATGAAAATATAAAGGCAAAAATAAGATAAAAGCAAGAAAAAGGGTCTTTTCGATTCAGGCAGAAAATCCTTCAATTTTGCACTTTCTGGCTCTCTTTGATTTGGCATGAAAAGGGTGAAAGTATGACTTTCGATTGGGGCCTGGAGGCCAGCATGTTGAGACTTTCGAATGGGCCTGGAGTCAGTGTGATGTGCCTTCTGGCTGCCTCTTTCGTTTGACCTGGAGGTTAGCATGGAAGCCAGAGGCTTCATTTCCAACTTCTTGTTTCCTGTTTCTTTCGTTTGAGTTTGAATAGCAACATGGCCTAAGGCCACGCCAACATTACCTTATGTGATACGGTGGGAAAGAACTGACTGTTTTTTGGAATGCTGGTTTGCGTTTTGCGTTTGTTTTTGCAAAATGTCGCGGTAAGCAAGAGTCGCCACCGACTTTTATTTTATCCAACAAGGAAAGGAAAAAAGCACAGAAAAAGTCCTTTTTCGAGATATTTCTCGGGTTCGGGGGGTAGATTATAGAAAGGGAAGGTATTAGCACCCTTTCTATCCGTGGTTATCCACGAGCTCTTAAGTACTTGCTCATATTGTTTTCAAAATATTGCTTTCTTTGTGCTTGTGGGTTTGAAAAAAAATTTGGTTTGAAAACTTCGATTTAACTCTTGCTTCTGTCCTCAAGAGCAAAGTGTTTTTGAAAACTTTGTTCGAAAAGTGTAAGTGTGAAGAGTTTTTGTTTTTTGAAAGAGCAGGTATCTAAGAACCATCTACCTACTCGAAAAAGGA